GGGGGGAGGAGGGGGGGGAAGAGGAGACAAGAGCTGCTCCCGGATACTGATTACATGGTACCCGGTAATGGCAATGCTTACCAGCAATGTTCCCTCTTTTTTTCCATCCATGTGTGGAATAAACTTTATGTGCATCAAGGGATGTGCAAAAGTGCCCACTATAGAAACAAAAAAACTACATGTGGATTCTCTGCTCCTCAGATGGGCAGCACTTAAATCTCTCCTGAGCAGGTGCACAAGCAACCATCTTACAGGGAACACTGCTTACTGGGTAACCAGTTACTCATTCCCCATCCCTAGTTCATATTGAAGTCTAATGATCTGTAGCAAGTGTCATCAGTATAGCTTTTAATAGATACTAATCACGTAAACTGACTTACTGTGATTCAATCTTGAATCTGTGAAAGACCAATTAGTGACAACAAATGAATTAGGGATTTATTCAGCTGTACAAATTCACTGAATAGGTAGCTGAAATTACAATTGGAGTTAAGTTGTTTCTTCTGCTACAAAAATAGATCCTAAATTGTTTGGATCTATACAGCATACTTTGAGCACTGTCTTCTTCTTACCAAATCTTGACTTATCCTTCAATTAAAAACAGCTTAAAAGATGCTGTTAAGATACCATGCCAGTAAATTGAGGAACACCCCACCATCACACTCCAATCAGGTTAACAGCTCTAAGTCTGAGCTTGTAGCAGTCAAATTTCTGCTGCCACAAACTTTCAATTTCAGCAAAATAAAAGCAAGTGTGGTAGGGTACGTCTACACAGCAGCGTTATTTCAGAATAACTGACGTTATTTCGAAATAACAAAATGCGCATCTACACAGCAAGACATTATTTCAAAGTAATGTTGAAATGGAGGACTTCTTACTCAGACTCCTGCCTTCAGCCCTCATTTCACAAGGAGTAAGGGAAATTGAAGGAAGAGTGTTCTTCCTTCAATTTCCTGCTGTGTAGACAACTTAATTCAGCTTTTAGCACTATTTTGACTTCAGCTACAAAACTTACATAGTTGAACTTGCCTATCTTAATTCGACTTTTGCCCTGTTGTGTAGAGGTACCCTTAAAGTGTGGGCTTAAAGCATAATCCCTGCTTTACCGTTCCCACTCACCCAAAACAGGGAAAAGTCTGTTCATGGCAGGAACTGAGTGAGAGGTCGCTCTAGTCATTTTCAGACACTAGTTGCCTGTTGCACAATCATTGAGAGTAAATGTTCTCAAAAAACCCTGAATAACTGATAAAAAGGCTGAGATGACTATTTCCACCCCTTAATGATTAGAGAAAGGCAAACCAGTTAGTAAGTTCCAATCACACCATTACTAGTAAAACAGAAAGCTTCCTCAACCACATCATCCCTGTCCCCAAAACCTTTCCAGTATCAACAACATACAATTACAGTTCAAGGAACTAATAGAGGAAGTGGAGGTGGGTGACAGCCTGGGAAGCAGTGATCATGAGATGGTAGATTTCAGGATCCTGACCAAAGGAAGAAAAGAGTAGTAAAATACACACCTTGGACTTCATAAAAGCAGATTTTGACTCCCTCAGAGATCTGATGGGCAGAATCCCCTGAGATGCTAAAATGAAGGGGAAAGGAGCCCTGGACAGCTGGCAGTATTTTAAAGAAGCCTCATTGAAGGCACAGAAAAAAAGCATCCCGACATGTAGCAAGAGAGGCAAACATGGTAGGAGACGAGATTGGCTTACAGGGGAAATCCTTGGTGAACTTAAGCACAAAAAGGAAGCTTACAAAAAGTGGAAACTTGGACAAATGACCAGGGAGGGGTTTAAATGTACAGGCAGTCCCCGAGTTACGCGGATCCGACTTATGTCGGATCCGCAGTTACGAACGGGGCCCGTCTCCCTGGCCTCCAGCAGACCAGGGAGAGGAAGCAAAGCGGCGGAATACGCGGGCAGCGGACAGCCCAGACACATCTGGGCTGTCCCGCTGCCCCCGTGCTCCGCGGCTTTGCTCCGGACGCCTGTGGTACAGCAGCTGGGGCACTGACAGTTGGTCCCGTAGCGCCGCTCTGGGCGCTACTGGACCAACCCAGCAGCACCCCA